AGACACTCAAGTTCACTGACTTTTGAAGCTAACTCACGTTCCACTTCAGCCATTTTAGACTTGAGGGATAATATCTCGGATTCTTTTTTCGATGAGTTGTTTTGAATCGAAATCACATCTTTCTGGGCTGAAGATAACTTACCTTCCAATATCTTAATCATAGACTCAAGCGATCGAATTTTCTTGGATTCATTCTGAGTTGAAGATAGTTTCGTTTCTAATATTTTTATTCTAGACTGAAGATCTTTTATCTTAATTTTAGATTCGTTAAGGGAAATATCTTTGCGGGTAATCTGACATTAGACTATCTAACTCTGCGCTCAATCGCTTAACCTCCTCTATAAGCTGGTAGGCATGCTTGGAGAGTTTCTCTTTCTCTTTATTGGATTGTTTTAGATCGCGTAGTATACGCTTATTGTCTTTATCCAAGACAGAACATTTATTGGCAAGTCGATTGCCACACTCTATAGCAATTTCTCGATCTCGATTTGCACAAGCAAGCTGGTTTTCAAATTCTATTCGATTAGGTGGATATCGATTAGATAGTATGTCCCCTAGTTTACTGCCTTCGCCTATATCTGACAATGTATAAATTCGAGACATATGTGTTTAAACACTAGCTCCGCTATTATATCAATAAAATAAATATAAAAAATAGATATAATGTATTAAATAGACTATACATATCTATCAATGTGCTGATTTTAACGTATTAGATAGAATATATGTATTAAATAAATAATATAACCCTATATATTCGATGTATTTTATTTTTCTGATATATTATATATTTTTTATTTTTCCGATATATTTTGTTAGATAAAAAACAAAGTAATTACACTTATCGCTATGGTTAGAGTACGTATAAAATGTGACGCACCTTCATTCACTCCCGATGATTATACTTACATTATGCAATGTCGTGATATAAAGCCAAGATACAAAATTTTAAAAGAATTATTGGATAAATATAAAACATCATCAAAACGTATTTATCAAATTTGGAGGGGAGAAGAAGCTAATAGAGTTCTTTGGGACCAACCTATACCCCACTTATATGATGGTGACGACTCTAATATTATGGAATCGATATCATCAGCAAAGACTAACTGGGAAAACAAAGTTAGTATAAATGATGCAATTCACTCTGAAGTTTTACCAGATAAATTAGCAGAGATGGCAAAACCAAAAATTCAAAATTCTACTTCCTTGCATTCAGTAAAAAAAAGTGACTCTTCCATAGACAATACATCTAGGATAAAATCCGATCTTGAAAAATTAATGAAAGATACTGAAAGATTAGCTCCTATATGCCCGTCTTTGCCTCAGTAAGCTGAGAACATCTTTCTGCAAGAGCTTTGTCAGCATTTAAAGCCATATCAAGCCACGCTTCAGTTTTTATGAATCGCTTTTCAAGTTCGTCATATTTTTTTTAAGTCTTCCTCTTTAGTTGAGTTAGATGAGATAGTAGATACTTGAGGTAATGAATCTTGCTTCTCTTTTGGTGGATCTAATGCTTCTGGAGCCTTGTTAAAAGTTGGGATA